GAGTATTTTTTATATTTCAAAATGCGTTATTTTTTTTAATATATATACATAATCTCCATTATTAAAAAAAAAACTTCAATTCAACCACTTATATTTTTACATTTTATAATTACATTGAAAATATTAAAATAGTTACTGCAAGCTTGTGTTAAAATTTAAATTAATAAATAAGGAATTATTTGTTGACAATAATTCATAAGATAAAGTTAGCTTTTTACGATGTAAAAACGTCGAAAAAGTATAAATTACAATATTTTCATCAAAATAAATACATGGAAAATACATAATTGCCCATCAAAACATAGCCAACACTAATGGAAAAGGTCAGAAATTTAAACCCACTTTGTTACATGTTTTTTAATTAAAAAGATCCATCAGTATAAACTAAAATATATAGTCAACAAAAAAGAAAAAATAAAATATAAGAAACCATTTCCGGTTTTTCCTCTCCAACAACGGGCCCGGAATTTTCAACAATTATGCCTAAACGGCCCAACATTGCCAGATAAGCACAAGGAAGGCCCATTTATATTAATGGGCTTTCGCTTGAATGTCCTTCTTCTTAATCCTTCGCGATGGGAAACCCTAAAACTTGCCTATATAAAGAAGCGCCAGCGGCAATCCTCATTTATCGTTTTAGCGCGGGGGGGTGCCTCTTCATTCCAATTATGCTTCCCTTTAGGGTTTATAGGTTCCCTTTTCTAAGCGTTCTTCAATTTTAAATCTCACGGCGTCGTCGCTGTAGCTTGCTCCGGTTGAATTTTCTGTCGGTCGCGAAATCGAAACAAATGAAAGACGAGAAATCTATCTGTGTACAATAAGCCGATGCTCTGGAATCAAAAGAATGAAGGAAGCATGGTAGTGTGCACAGAAATCGAACTCACAGGTCAACATGTCTGCTCCCTCTGATACTTTCTGATTTGGGGGCCTGGTTTAGACCTACATATTTTTCTTTTCCATTTCTCCATCTCTCGCTTCTAAATCGTATTTCTCGGTGAAAATGAGAGGGAAATTGACTGGAATTTCACTATAGGTTCGTTGATCGTATTTAGAATTAGCTAGAAAATGTAATTGCTCACAGATATTTTCTCTTGATTCTCTGATCGATGGATCGTCAAGGCTGGATCGTTCCCCGAGCGGTCTGATTCCACAGATGTTAGTAGTTCCGAGATCTTTCTCGAGTCTACTATTCAACCTGATATTTTTTTTCTGATTGTGATTGTAATGAGGGAAATGCCTCTTTGAGTAGCCGTATGAACACAATTTTCGGTTTCATATCGGCTTAGTTAGGAGGCAGACATGAAGGTAGTTTACTTCGAGGCCCGTTTGAGAGGATTTTTCAAACATTTTTGTGAATCTTCCTCCAAGCAGCCTTGCACATTTTTGTATTGATTCGTACTATCACGAGAAGATTTCAAATGATTGTTAAATTCGCATGTTTTTTAAAATTTTATGAAATCTGGGAACTTTTTAAGTTTGGGATAATAATCAATCTTTACTCGTAATCTTGTACACGTTTAATTTTATCAGACTTTTGACAAAATTCTATGCTAAAAAACTTATTAAATTAAATTGCACGTGATTATTTGTTTAATAGATCATTAAATAATTCTCTTAAAAGTAAAACATATAAAGTTTATGATAAAATTCTTGCTCTTTCAAAATTTAGCTCGGAGGAACATTTTGAATTTTTATACTCGTTTTTTCTCTCTTTTAGGTGTCACGATGATATATGTCAATTATGTTTGGGCATTTTTGATAAAGTTCATAAGTTTTTTTTTGGTTGAAAATAATGTGCTATAAGGTGTACTTTCATTCATAATAATGTAATTGTAAAAGTAAATTACAAAAATATAGTAGCTTTCAAATTAATAATGATAATAAAGTGAATTAAATAAGGAATTTTTGTACCTGTGTGAATTCAAAAGCAAAAAATTGTATTCATCCAAAGACTATTTACCATTGGCGATGACATCTGGAAGGGAAAAGTGCATCAGGTAAATGTACGCAATTTACCGGGCAATAGTGTACAAAATTTACCGCCTTGAATTGTGGAAGGTATAAATTCCCTGGACGTAGTTTACAAATTACTCGCTGGAAATTCTTCAATGTCTTTGCAATCGCTGGAAATGTCACACTAAAATCCGTATTCAGATTCATCAATATGACCTTCAACTCCCCAACTCGTTCAGAAGCAGCACATGCTGTGGAGGATGTGGGTCTGTCTATAAGGCCAGGGTGTAAATAGACAAAGAAAAGGTATTGGGGGAAGAATCCACACGTGGTTTTTCACTTCTACAGATGGGTCTGAAGTCGTGCTATACTTACGCGATTCACCCTTCTATCATTCCTAAAGTATAGGATTGACTTTAAATCGTGTTGGTTAGATGTAATTTACCTACCCAACATTTCGAATTAGTTTCAAAACCTACCCCTTTTCTTATTATATATTTTTTTAGTTCAAAATTAAAAAAAAAAAATCTTATATTGCACTTGTATTATCTTAACAGGAAAATTAGGTAATTTTAAATCTATGTTTATTTTATACTGTTTTGGGTAAGAGATCTATCCAGTCATTCAATGCTAAAATGAGCATAGGCAAGTAATTTTTGCATATATTTGAATTAAAATATGTATCAATCAAGAGATTTAAAATTTTATTTATATCTCAACAACAAATATTACTCCATAAATACGAATGTTTTTCTAGGGATTACATGCCACCCTGGCAATTCCGTTATTTTTAATTTAGTGAGTATGAAACAATTTACTAAAATTTCACGATCCTGTTCGAACTAAATAGAACATATAAAAGTCAAGCCTAAATCTATGGATCGAAAATGTAAATTGTCCTTAATTTTAGAGGAGAGGAGGATGGATCAAACTCTGTAGAAGATTATAAGCAATGTAAGTTTATTTGACAGAGAAGTAAAAATTAAGCATTTAAAAGTTTTACATATATCACTTGACGACCGCAATCACATTATCATCACCATTTTCAGCCAAACATTCAAAATCTTTCTTCCACAATCGTGTACTCACTCTCACTCTATATGACAACCAAGAAAGCAGAGCATTTCAGATGGAGTTCTAGAATGCCCTCGGCTTGGCAACAATGGTGGAGTGCTTCAAAATGTGCAAGCTAAATTGCCCGCCTTTCTCCGAGGTGTCCAGCTTCGCCTGCCCAGGAGGAGGCAGCAGCTCAAAATTCTGAACCAATCGCCCGATCGTAATGGCGAGGATCGGCAGCGCCAAGATGATTCCGG